ACCCAGAAGAGGGATCTCTGGGTCATATGGTAACTCTATTTTTAATTTTTTGAGGAACTGCCCTACTGTTTTCCATAGTGGCCGTACCAATTTATAGTAATATTAATTGACCCATGGAGATAGAACAATAATGATGAAAGAACCTGTTATTGATGCTTATCATGAATTGGGCTCATTGGTGAGAGCAAATATCATCTCATTTAATGCCCACCATTATGATATGAGGTAGAGGTTATTATTATCCCCACTTTTCAGGTGAGGATGGAACTTAATGAACTTCCCAAATCCATATGCCTCATAAGTGGTAAAGATGAGACTTAACCTATGTCTTCTCACTTTTTGGTCTGCAACTCATACCAGCTGGTTACACGTGCAGACCAGATATTATATATATACTATCACAGTCACTTTCTGAGAGCATAGCAAACAAACAAACAAACAAACAAACAGTAGTAAGTCATCTTTTGTAGTTATAGGTGGTCATTTCTGTTAATAATGATCAGATACAAATGTGCAGTAGTATTTGCTCTATCAGTACGAGATCATCTGCATACCCTGGTATTCTTGCTTCCTTCCTGATTCCCATCTACTCCATTTATTTCTATGATCCAACCCACAATCAACTGTGTGTACACTGACTCATGGTGGAGAGCCATGACTCCAACCTCACTTTCATTAATCAAAAGGAAGCTTCAACACCATCAGGAAAGTGACAGTTAAGGTCACAATTATAATGGAATATTGGATCAAAGGAAGAAGATAAGGGAAGACAAGGAATGTTATAGATTTCAAAATATGGATGCTCTACCAATGGGGACTGCATCTTGTTTGGTCAATGAGTTAGTGCTTTTTGAATGTTGGGCCTATGTAGATGGAGCCAATGAACCATGGGTTGCTCTATCAGCGACATTACATTGACATTTTACCACCAGGCAAACTTAGATTTTCCAAAGGAAAGCATCCACAAGCATTTGTCCAATTTTAAATTACAGACCAAATTAAGCTAACTAAATCCATGTCCTCTTATTACCGGGATTCTGAGGTCATGTTATAAGGCTGTGCCCTTCCCGTGCCCAAGGATAGATGTGGGCATGGCTTTTATTTTTGTGGAGCTTGCTCCATGGGCACCAGACAGGGCTGGGCAACTCATGCCACTGCGCCATCTGTTGCATCAGATGTTGGAGGCATTTCACACCAGCCTACTGAATTTGAATCTTTTCAGATCTCTTATCAAGCCACTGATATAAAAGTAAGTTATTTTGTTTTTCTTATTAAATCACTGAACCATTCACTGTTAGCAGTTGCTAAGATAGCAAAAGAGCAAACTTCAGAATAAACTGATTTTGTGCACAAACATGGAGCAGATGTCATTTGAAACCTGGTTAAGCAACCATCCCTGGAAAGACTGCCTTCCAGGGTGGGGCTCAAGCTGCTATACTAGGGCCTTGGTTTACTGTGATTCTTAAACTGCACTGAGGATCAGAATTGCCTGGAAGGCTGGTTAAAACATAGATAACTGGGAACCTGCCCCCATGGAGGAGAGTTTTGGACAGTAGGTGGTTGGGTCCTGAAATGATCATTTTTAACACATTCCTGGGTGATGCTGACCTGGCTACTTTGGAGAGTACAAGCTCGGCATCCTTTGATATGACAGGTATTATAGTTTGCCAGACACCAAATATGGAATTTCATTAACAAATTAATAACATTCTTCTGAGTTGTTCATGTTTCATTTTGAGTCGCAGGTCAGGAATAAAAGCAATGCCTCAGCTCACAGCAGCTAGGTAGGAAGTGCTTCCCCTTACTCACAGGGAAGTCAGTCTTTTCGTTCTGGTCAGATCTTCACCTGATTGGGTGAGGCCCACCCACATTGAGGAGATAAACTGCTTTGCTCATTCTGCCAATTCAAATGTCAGTCTCATCCGGAAACACCCTCACAGGCACACCCGGGATAATGTGCAGCCGAGTACCTGGGCACCCTGTGGCTTAGTCAAGTTGGTGCATAAAAAGATTACATGGGGCTTTCTTAAAAGTCTGCCTACAGAGTGAGGACACAGGGCACACGTTTCATTTCGTACAGAGAAGGGAAATTTCTATATTTTTGTTCATATTCTAGTTCAATGATTTGCAAAGTAGAATATCATCTTGTCAGTTATTTAATAGTTACATTCTTCCTTTCTAATCCCCAAGTAGATAAAAAGTTGCAGGACTAAATTAAATCATTCGGAAAATAAAAGTAACTGGGGAAATAGTACCTCAGCCCCATGATTTGGGACATCTCTGTTTGCCTAGGAATGACATTCCACATTATTACTCCACAGAACATTAGTATCAAGTGTTTATATGTACAAAGTGATGGTTGATATTTCTCAGTGAAGACATATGGCTGACTTTCAGTCTTTGATGCAATCACATGCTGTATTAAGTATACAATAGACAGCTATGATCATAAAGGGCTAAATGAAAAAAATTAAAAAAAAATTAATCCTCACCCAAGAATATTTTTTTTTTGGAGGGGGTGAGGATTAGGTGGAAGGGAGGGAGTAGGTGCGAGAGGGGGTGGGGGGTTAGAAACTTCAATGTGAGAGAGACACATTGATTGGTTGCTTCCTCTATGCTCCCTAGTGGGGCCGAAGATTGAACCTGCAACTGAGGTACATTACTTTGATCAGGAATTGAGTCTTGAGACCCTTTGGTCTACAGGCCAACACTTTAACCGCTAAGCAAAACCAGCCATGAAGAAAAAAATTAACTTTTAAAACTTGTATTCCAGACTGAAAAGCTCCTTTGATTGAAATTTTGCTGAGAATCAGGTAGATAAAAATACATACCTCTTTTTATCCATCATCTATTTTAGTCTGTTGAAAGCTGAGAGGCAACAAATAACTCTGATTTTAGCTTTTTTTTTTTTTTTTTCCAAAGACATAGGTAATTTTTTATTGTGGAAACTATCCAGGTAAGCACAAGATTTCAAGGTCTTCATGGAATTACTGAATCACTCCAACTCAATAACATAAAATTGATGAAATATTCATTGTGCAAATTGCATAGAAGACAACAAAAGAAAATACTAAGTGGCTCAATGAAATCATTATCAATATAAATACTGCTCTGATAAAGTCAAATTTGCCATGATAATGATTAGACAATATTGTCCCATGACTATGGATTCTTTCCCAAAGTATATTCTTTATGAATTTTGGACAATATCCATTATTTCCCCAAATAAAACAAGTTACAAGGTAGGTTACAAGGTACTTAACCAATACAGTCTAATATTAACTGAATCACCATTACTCAGCATTCACGTATGAGCAGATCCAAAAAATGAAACTTGCAAAACTTCTCTGTAATCTTGCTGATGCCAAGTCATGGTAAATATTTTATAAATTTGTTTAATATGTTCCAGTGTATGGTGATTCCAATGAATTGTTTCATATTTTGGTGAATATATCATGTTTAACAATGGAGAGGTTATGTAGTATATGTTTTATCAAAGAATGCTATTTATTAATAAAATTCTGTACTCCTCCTATACGGCAAAATGAACTCTGCTCTGTCAAGCGATGTCGTATTCGACTCTGCCTCAGAGATAACTTGTAGTTTGCATGCGGGTGCACAGGATCCTATGGGTGTTCCCTGGGTTAAGGCACATTCCTAACATTCTTCATTCCTTTGTTTTACACACACACACACACACACACACACACACACACACACACTTAGCAGAAGGCATTGAGTGTCCAAGGGTTGTAGGAATATTGTAATTTTGAATTTGCCTCTGCTCTATATTCAATGCAAATCATTTGCTAAGCTGGATAATTTGGTTGTTAGTTAAAAATGATATGGAACATGGCTTGCAAATTTCAAAATTGCTGCTTCAAAATGTGCCACCCCTGACCCCACCTTGAGGAAGCCACAACTGACAAATATCAGTTCTACTACAGATTTACGTACCTGTGAGCCTAGAGAGGCAGAGAAGGAGGGCCAGGAGAGGTAAATACAAGAAGATGTAACATATGATTGATCAGCATTCACAACTCTAAAATTACTTAACACAGAACCACTGCTCTCGGAGGAATGGGACCATGCGTAATCCCTATCCTGCTCCCCCAAGTAGCCGATTCCGAGTCATAGCCTGCGCTCCATAAATTCTTGTAACTAATGTTAACATAGAGGAAAAGCCCACTATGATATATGTTTGTATGTTGCTTGGCCATGGATGATAGTTCCAGGCACAACTTCGTTAAAAAAAAAAAAAAAAAAGTGCAGAGTACATTTTTCTAACTTTAGATAATATTTTTTTATGATAAGGGGCTCTGCTTATAAAAATCAAAGCAGGTCAACAGCAGATGGCCCCATGTATTATTTCATAAGCCTCTGCTGCTTTTAGAATAGTATCTGGTGACTTCAATTATATAATCCATCAGCTTGGTCTGCAAACCATGGTCCTGGGAAATCCACTAAATTCTAATGAACACTTTTTTTGAGCTCTGTGCGAGGATCTAGAGATGAGGAACCTTATGATTTTTGCGTTTAAGGAGCCAAGTGCAGGGAAGTGCTGGCCATCTGCTTATCCCTGTCTGTCTAAGTCATCTGGAAATAAGGCTGCCGGATACCTAGGAAGGAGGAGTGTGCCTTGGGCAATAGAGACCCCCCTCCCCCCCCAGTTAGCTACCCCTTCCTACTGTCCCACCCATTGGACTGCCTGGGGCGGTAGAGGTGGAGATGGCAGGCTGGAGGAGGGGCAGAGTTAGGGCTGGTGGTGGGAAGATTGGAGGAAAAACAGTCTACTGATTTTGGAAACCTGTATGAACCTACTTTACAGGGTGATTAATCACAATAAAATCTAAATACAGGGACAATTACAGGAGTCCTGTTTATGGTGAAGATTGGATCCAAGGCCTAAATGACATGGATAAATAACATTTAAGAAGAATATGTTGTAAAGCTCCTCTCTTCTCTTTCTATTTTTTTTAAAGACAAAAGAGAAGAACAAAATGGACAAGACGCTCCTGTGGTTGATCCTCTTCACCCTGGGGTGGGCCCTCACTGGTGGGTCAGAGACCGAGCAGGATGCCATGTGGCATTTGAGGAAAGTGCCCCGGGTTGTCCGGGAAAGGACTTTCCAGCTCACGAGCCCCAAGTTCGAGGCGGAGGCCCAGATGGTGCTGAGGAACGTGTGTGGCATCGAGTGCCAGGAGGAGCTCCCCGCGCCCAGCCTGTCGGACCTGGAGGAGGCTCTCTCCTACGAGACCGTCTTTGAGAACGGCACCCGCACCCTGACCAGAGTGAGGGTGCAGGGCCTGGCCCCGGAGCCCCCGGGGCCCGCGCACAACACCCCCGCGAGGAGGAGGAGGAGGAGGCAGGTGTACGGCACCGACAGCCGGTTCAGCATCTCGGACAAGCGGTTCCTGACCAGCTTCCCGTTCAGCACGGCCGTGAAGCTGTCCACGGGCTGCAGCGGGGTGCTCGTGTCCCCCCGGCACGTGCTGACCGCCGCCCACTGCGTCCACGACGGGCGGGACTACGTGAAGGGGAGCAGGAAGCTGCGGGTGGGGCTGCTGAAGATGAGGAAGAAACGGGGCGGCCGGAGACTCCGGGGCTCCAGGAGGAGCAGGAGGGAAGCGGAAGGTGATGAGCAGAGAGAGGGCGGCAGCAGCAGAGAGGACCCCAAGGAGGGAGCCAAGGCTGCGGGGAGGGGAAGGAAGAGCTCTGCTGGGGATCAGAGAGGCCCTGGGGACCAGGGAGGACCTGCGGGTCAGGGAAGCCCTGGGGATCAGGGAAGAGATGCTGGGGGTCAGGGAGGCCCTGGGGATCAGGGAAGATATGCTGGGGGTCAGGGAGGCCCTGGGGATCAGGGAAGAGATGCTGGGGGTCAGGGAAGAGATGCTGGGGGTCAGGGAGGCCCTGAAGGTCAGAGAGGCCCTGGGGGCCGGAGAGGCCCTGGGGGCCGGAGAGGCCCTGGGGGTCGGAGAGGACCAGGGGGCCAGGGCAGAGGCGCCGAGGGCAGGCCCTCCTTCCAGTGGACCCGGGTCAAGAACACCCACATCCCCAAAGGCTGGGCCTCGGGAGGGAAGGGCGCCGCCCTGGACTACGACTACGCGCTGCTGGAGCTGAAGCGCGCGCACAAGCAGAAGTTCATGGAGCTGGGCGTCAGCCCGGGGTCCCGGGGGCTGCCCGGCGGCCGCATCCACTTCTCCGGCTTCGACCGCGACCGCGCCGACCAGCTGGTGTACCGCTTCTGCAGCGTGTCCGACGCCTCCCGCGACCTGCTCTACCAGCACTGCGACGCGGCGCCGGGCTCGGCGGGCTCCGGGGTGTACCTGCGTCTGCAAGGGCCCGGGCGGCGCTGGGCGCGCAGGGTCATCGCCGTGCACGCGGGTCACCAGTGGGTGCACGTGGGCGGCCGGCAGCAGGACTACAACGTGGCCGTGCGCATCACGCCGCTCAAGTTCGCCCAGATCTGCCTCTGGATGCACGGCCAGGACGCCGACTGCACCACCGGGTGACGGATGGCACCCCGAAACCCGGGCCGTGGGCACCCCGACACCAGGCCCCCCAAACCAGGCCATGGGCAACCCGCAACGCAGAGGAAAACCGGTTCCGTTATTGTAGCAAGATCCCCGCGCAGAGGATGCCTGGACACGAACTCTAGAAACATGTCCATGTGTGTATACATCTACTTTCTCAAAATCAGCAGGTTTCCCTGAATGTAAAAGCCGTGTAGGGTAAAGGTATTGGATGGGCATGTTCCATGCCACGTATCTATTCTTCTTTGCATGGTGGTAGTTTGGTTTTTGGAAAATAATTTTGTTGTTGTTATTCTCCTTCTAGCCTTCTTAAGAATCAGACACACTTTAAAACGTCGAGCTAGTGCTGTCAACAATATGATTTCTCAGTGGAGTGGTCCCAGGGTGGGTCCTACTCCAAGGAGAATCTAATGTGGTGCTGGTTGCAAATTAAATGGGCGGACAGTAATACTTCAGATTGAGTTAGAGGCAAAACATCTGCAACAGTTAGGACTGTTCTGAAATGGGCCCATTCGGTGCATACCCTCCATGTTTATATTGCTTTCACTTGGACCTGAGAAACTTTAGTATTTTTTGTTTTGTTTTGTTTTTTTATACATTTTATTGATTTTTTTTACAGAGAGGAAGGGAGAGGAATAGAGAATTAGAAACATTGATGAGAAACATCCATCAGCTGCCTCCTGCACACCCCCACCTGGGGATGTGCCCGCAACCAATGTAAATGCCCCCGACTGGAATCGAACCTGGGACCCTTCAGTCCGCAGGTCGATGTTCTATCCACTGAGCCAAACCGGTTTTGGCAAAACTTTAGTTTTTTTTGTTTGCTTTTTTTTTTTTTTTTTTTTTTTTTTTTTTTTTTTTTTTAAGAATTACAAGGAATTGCTTTATAAACAAAACTGCCAACTATTTTACTGCTTTAAAAAATATGGCTGAAGTGTGTGTATAGTTTAAAATGAAAGAAATACTTCATCCTAGGAAATAAATCAAGTTTAAAAATAGGGAAGCTGAGGCCTTTTAAGGTCTCAAGGTTTTATTCAGCTAGTGTTCTAACCACACACTTTTCATGCATGCAAAGGGGAGACAGCTCAATTGTTATACGTCAATGATCTTGCATTTGAAAGGCACATCGCTTTATGCTCTACATTCACTATGTGTTTTTAGGACAAGCAATTCTCGTCGTTTTCAAGCCAGAGTCTTTTTTCCTTTTGACAAAATTCAGCTTTCTTTGTAGGGCCTTAGGCATATTATTTTTGGCAAATTCTGAGTAGTATAATAATTTTAAATAGATTCCTTAAAATGCACATGATCTAAGAATACTTTTAAAAAGAAGGTTCTGATTATTTTCATTAGGGCCAAGGCTGTTCACTCACTCTGGCCATCAAGGCAGCCTCAGCAGACAGAGAGAGTCCACTGGCTGCTCTGGGGCACTTTATACTTATTTCCTGAATGGTTGGTTATAAAAGGGTGTTAGTGCAGGTCCTTATTTATTATTTTTTGTTAATCCCCAACCATATATTTTTCAATGATTCTAGAGAGAGAGGAAGAGGGAGGGAGAGAGAAACATCGATCGGTTACCTCATGTCTGAGCCCTGACCAGGGACAGAACCCAAAACCTGGATATGTGTCCTGACCAGTAATCAAACCCACGAACCTTTGGTGCACAAATGACACTCTACCCACTGAGCAACACTAGCCAGGGCCAGGCCCTTATTTCCAAGGGATTTTAGTAATTTGCAGATGAATGAACCATGAAATTCAGGAACTACACACCCAATCTCTGGTCTGCTCTTTCTGGCAGTTTCGAGGGAACACATTCTCTCTGTCATGATACACCCAAGTTACTGATTTTGCCAGAGTTCAAATTTATTTTATTTGTCATTATTATTTTTATGAAAGGAGAGTTAAATCTTTGATTAGTATGCAAAGGAATATTTGATCAGCTTATGATAAAATGGTTTGTAAATTGTGTCCCAAACAGCTGAAATTCAACCCAAGTGTACGTTCTTTTTATGTGAGTTGGTGAAAAAAATCATTCAATAAAAAATTTAAAAAGTAAATCAGTTATAATTATTATTGTATCTGTATATATTTCTTTATGCAAAGTTTCAGCAAGTATTAAATCAACTGTCACTTAAAAATGATTCTATTTCATTCTAACCACATTTCGATGAGCAGTATTTTATTAGTGGCACTAGTGGAATAGGGCTACTGACTCAAAAGAATTGTTCAGATCTTTTTTGGAAAATCATCTATATAATCATTGCAAATAAAGAAGTTTCAAGGTGAATTTTGCACACTTATTGGAAACATGCACACACAAAACTTCATGTGCTTAGGTGCTTACAAAATCATCCTTGGGTTTGAGTAAATTCAGAGTAATTTAGGGTGTTCATTGTAGTTTGGTGTTTAAGGTTAAATACTGAATATACATAATCTCCTTAAAATCATTATACTTTTCAAAAATATAACACTTAGTTCATTTTCTATGCAGAGCTTTGATTTTCCCATTCTCTTATCTTTTCTAACTGAATTATGAATCGATGGTGAAATCTTGTTCTCATCAGATGGGGTCACTGTACAGGATATACAGTTTTTATCCACTTACCATATAAAAAGGGGAGAAAACACCCTCAAATGGTTTTCTAAAGTCTAGGGAGGAAATTCCCTGTTTACTCCTCTCTGTAGTTAATAACTGGCAGTTGCATCCTGTGGGCATGGTGTCTTAAAATAATTTTATTCCCAATTTGGGCTAATTTGCTCCACCCACAGGTGAGGTGTTGTCTTAATCTACTCTGCTGTCATGACAAAATACCAGAGACTGGTGACTTAAACAATAGGAATTGATTTCTCGCAGTTTTGAAGACTGGGAATTTCGGCAAGGTGAGTTTCTGAACCCCTTTCCTTGGTTTGGAGGCTGCTGTCTTGCAGTGTGCTCCCACCCCCTCTTCTCTGTTCACTCTCAGAGAGAGAGCTAGTGAGCTCTTTGGCATCTCTTGATGAGGGGACTAATCCCATCATGAGGGCTCCACCCTCATGACCCCGCCTAACCCCAATGACCTCATTCAGGCCCCATTTTTTTTTTTTGTGGGAGGGTAGGGCTTCAACATATGAATTGGGGGTGGGGGAAGTGCACAAACATTCAGTCCATAATAGGTGTCTATTCTAAACCCACAAGTTGCATTGGGCCAGGCTTAAGGAACTCACAAACATCCCAGTCACCAGAGGAATTATCAGTGGTCGGCAAACTCATTCGTCAACAGAGCCAAATATCAACAGTTCAACGACTAAAATTTCTTTTGAGAGCCAAATTTTTTAAACTTAAACTTCTTCTAACACCACTTCTTCAAAATAGACTCGCCCAGGCCGTGGTATTTTGTGGAAGAGCCACACTCAAGGAGCCAAAGAGCCGCATATGGCTCCCAAGCTGCAGTTTGCTGACCGCGGAACTTAGTTAAGGGCTATGAACGGCAACTCAGGCCAGCCAATCGCCTTCTTCCCACTTCCATTATCATCATCTCAAGTGCTCATACCTGGGCCATAGGAAGAATTTAATATATGTTTAAAGTATCAAGTATTCATTGAAGGCATTGTTTACTCTCTGCTACAGGATAAGACTTCAAAAAAATTAGAGATATTATCTTAAGTGTATGTTGTATTAAAGATAAAGCTACATATCTAAATAATGGATATACTTATTATAATGAGAATTTTACTCTCAAAATATGGTGGTACTTAAGGAATCAGATATTTGATGTATTCCCTACTGACTTGTTTAAGTTTCTGATAAACATGCTTTCAAACTTACAGGTCCAAGGCTCCTGCAGTTACTTCTCATCCTCTGCATCTGCCATGTAAACATTTAATAAGATAAACTTTGCCTCAGAACTTGCCTCCAAAATATTTTTGCTTTAGTAATATTTGGAACTTTCCAATACTATCTTAAGATCTCTTCACTTTTTTCAAGCACTGGGAAGAAGCTGGCTACTTAGACTATCTACTTCAATTCACAATGCAGCCAATATGTGAATTTAATATCTATTTTTACCTTCCAGTATGGTTACCAAACGTTGGCTTTGTGAGCACATTTCTATCTATATTTATAAATGTTTTATTAATACTCAAACTTAAACTTATGTTATTAAAATTCTCTGTGTATGTATTCATATCCTTAGAAGTGTGTATACTTTCACACATGTGGCACAGAGAAGGGAAATGCTTTGGAATCTCTTCATATAACTGAATACAGATGATTTTGAAAAGTTCTAGGCTTTTGCTCAGCCTACTATTCATTTCCTTACTCTTCCTTATAGACATAGGAAAGCATACCAATATGTTATGCTTATAATGATTGCATAATCAATATAACAGTATGTCCAGTATGAGTTTTGGAGGGTAGCACATTATAGAAAGATTTTTATAAAAAAAAGCTTAACCTAGCTAAAACCGGTTTGGATCAGTGGATAGAGTGTCACAGGTTCGATTCCGGTCAAGGGCATGTACCTTGGTTGCAGGCATATTCCCAGTAGAGGGTGTGCAAGAGGCCGCTGATCGATGATTCTCTCTCATTGATCTCTCTTTCCCTCTCTTTCTTTCTATGAAAAATCAATAAAATATATTAAAAAAGCTTAACCTATATTTTAAAAAGTTATTTAAAAGAAATGATAAAAATGAAATTTTAAAAATGAATAAAAAAGAGCAACATCAGTGGTCTACAGAATTGACTTATTTTTATACTCAAATGTAATTCTAACCTCAAAAGTAAAGAAAAAATTCTTTCCCCAATATTTCATTAAACCCCAATAATATTGAATGTTAATATGTGTTATTGAAAGTTTAGAATTGGCCTGATTTATGCATGAGCTTAGCATTGTGGTTTATGGATACACCAACTCTGGTATAATGGAAACAATTCTGGATGTGGAATAAAAGACCTTTAATTGACTAACCAGAGTACACTTCCCTGTATAAAGTAAATGTTC